AATGAGATGTTGTGTTGTTAAAATGTGTTGTTAAACAATGTGGATGAGTTGTTATGCTGATAAACTATGTTGTTCAAGTTGAATGTTGATTGAGATGATGAGTTAAAAAGTTGTATGTTATTTAAGTTGTTAAGCTGATTAAGTTGTGATGATGAGTTGTGATCACTAGGACTAGGGGAGATATTTTTGAAGTTGCTCATCCTATTGTGTGGATTGAGATAGTTGTGGTGCTCTGAGAGCCCAATTTGTTGAAAAACCCTCCTTGGGAAGTTGTCTCTTGGAGTGGACGTTGTGTTGTTCTCCTCTAGGACTTAGTTGATCCCGTGTGTGGGAAAGGTCGAGGCACACGTGTACAAAGCGACCATGGTATAGGGGCCAGGCCGAACTATAGTTGCTCAAGTTGTCTATTCAAGTTGATATAAAGATGCCTATTATTGTGAAGTAGTATAAAGTTGTTTGTTGTTGTAAAGTTGTAAAGTTGTCTGTTGTTGTAAAGTTGAAAAGTTAGGGACATATGGTGAAGATATATGTCCTATGTTGAGATACATAGTACTAAGGTGATAAGTTGAAAGTTGTTTTAAAGTTGAATCCCTTAGTACTGTGTGGGCAACATGGAAGTAGTCGATCCATGTCATGGTTGAATGACCAAATTAAGTAAGGTATTTAGTTAGAGATGTAGTCTTTGACTAGGTACTGGAGGATGCGTGGTACTTGGAGGGCAGTGGGTGGACTAACCCCATATATGGATTGGTTATGCAGACCAAGGCCGTAGTAGGTTCATACCCAAACCCTTTTGCCCTGACAATAGTACTGGACCTCCTAGTCTAAGTGGCACACTTGAGCAATCGCCTATTGTTGTCTATACCTGGTTCTCTTCGGAGTTCCTAATGATGCCCTATACCTGACTTGGTTAAGATAGGTCAAACGTTGGATTCAGTAATGTTTATGCCACCTAGACTGCTCAACCTCAATTGTTGGAGATCTCCTAGTTGTATATGTGTGACGACGCATTAGTTGATGTTGCATGGGTTGTTGCATTCAAGTTATATATAATGTTGTATAAATGAGTTGATAGTTGTGCTATTGTGATAAATACTATGTGGTTGTGTTGTGATGATGAGTTGTTGATCACTAGGACTAAAGGAGAAGTTTGCAAAGTTGCTCATCTCATTATGCGGATTGAGATAGTTGTGGTGCTCTGAGAGCCTAATTTGTTTAAAAAACCTCATTGGAAAGTTGTCCCTTGGAGTGGATGATGTGTTGTTCTCCTCTAGGACTTAGTTGGTCCCGTGTGTGGGCAAGGTCAAGGCACACATGTATGAAGCGACCACGGTATAGGAGTCAGGCCGAGCTATACCGATTATAAGCGGCTAATTTAAGTAAAGTACGATGTGTTGAAAGTGTTGTTGATGTTGTATATCTATTGTTGTATGTGTTGTGTTGCTTTAAGTTACAAGTTGAAAGTAGAATTCTATTACTGTTTATTATATGTTGATGTTATATTTTTATGATTATTGTTGTGAGCTTACCCTAGCCTGTTTTCCCTTGTGGTTGGGACTGTGATGACCATACCTTGGTATGCGAGCAGATCAGGATTAGGTACTCTACTAGACTGGGTGAGCTTCTTTTTGGTTGAGACTCAGGAGGAGGGTTGACGTTATATTTAGTTGATTGGTAGCATTTGACTACCTAGTTGTTGTATAAGATATTATTCCCTACTTTCAGTTATATATATTGTGAGACTTTTTAGTTGTGTATTCTCATTATATATATAATTATTTAGTAGTAATATTTTATGTTATACTTGGATCTGGACGCTATAGACAATGTGAGACCTGACGAGTCGTTACAAAATATATGACTACAATTAATATATATATACATATATATATATATATATATATATATATATATTTAAGGTAATATCATGTCATGTTAAATAAAATATTATGTATTTAGTTAATAAAATTATATTATTAATACATAATTATATATATTTGTTTTAAAAAAATATAATATTATGAAAATAAATTATTTTGAGTGAGATTTTTATTTGGATTTTTAATGAAAATTTTAACTATCAAAACTTTATGCTTTTTATTATTTAAATTCATTCTCACTTACTTTTAATTAAAAAATTAAGATTTCACCCAAAAAAAAAAATGTCACATAAAAAAACCTTAAGCCATAATATTGTATCAAGTTACCACTATGCCAAGAGGCCACTACATGTTATAATGTGCAATTAATTAATTAATTAATATAATTATTTGCAATTAATAAAAACTAACAACAAATAATTTGGTCATAAATGAGATTTTAAACTGGCACCTTCAGGTTAAGGTAGTGTTGATTTATCATCATGCCAAGTACCTATTCTATGTTAAATGCTACAAATTATAAGTATAAAATTTTATTTATATTTTGTATCTTATGTTATGTTAATTATATTATTTTAAAAAAATTAATATAATTTGATATTACCATTTAATAAATGAACTTTAAATTTGACTAGTAAATCAATAAATCACTACTTTGATTAGTTGAATGATAGGTTCGATTTTATAATATTAATTTAATAATTTGATAATTTAAATTAAACAAACTAAATTAGATTATTTTTTTTTCTTGATTGAATCAAATCTAATTCATATCAAAAAAATCTAACGTTAATTAGTTTGAATTAGGATTTGCATTTTATAAATCTAATGATCTAAATCAATTAATTGTTTTTAATTATTTTATTATTAAGTAGTAACATACTAATATTTTAGTTTATGTAATACATATGTTAAATATTTATTATATATATTTAAAATTTATAATAAAGTATATATATAAATAAATATTATGTTGAATATATAAATTATATTTAAAATTTGTATAAATATATATTTTAAACACATAAATTAAAATTTTGAATTATGAAAAATAATTTATGATAAATAAAAATTAATTTAGGTAAGAGGTGAAAAAAAGGCTAAATTTTACTCTCTTTTTTTATTTTCATCAATCTATAATTTTAGTTTCTTTATTTTAAAATAGAGACATTTAGTCTTTTTAACACAAATCACTTGATACTTAATTACTCCTGAACTGAGTTACCATACATAGCACCAGTGACATAAGTTACACAACTCACTCAGTCACATACTTAGCATCACACAACGCACCCTCTCCCATCACCCACCTAGCCATCCATGCCCACTTAGTATCCACATGTTAGTTAGTTATTATTTTATATTTTATATTTTATGAATTGAATATTTGTCACATTTATATTATTCAGTCAAATTTTGTGAAATATTTCAAATTTGGTTTAAAACTTAATTTTTTTGAAATTAATAAGTATTTTTAGTATATTTAATAATTTAATTTTTGAATAGATGGTTGAATATAAAATATGATAAAAATTGAATAAAATTAATTTTTTTAATTATAAAAATTTATTAGAGTGTTTATTTTACGGATTATTGGCAATTTTCTATTTGCTAATCATTCTGGTACGTATGTACCTTTAAGATATTTGGTTATGCTTATAGACTTGGATTATTGTGGTTGTATGAGTTAGGGATCAACTTTGTTGACAAATATGTACAAAGAGTTATGCGTGTCCACTAACTATGACCACAAGAAAATAGGTGGTGCATGTACATTGTTGCAAGTATGGACATGGTATCAGTTCCCAATATTTGCACGACACCCACCTCTATCTATTATTGGTGTTTCTCTAGGTGCAACATTAATAAGTATATAATTTGTAGTATATTTAACATATTAAGCTTTAAAATTTAATTAGTATGTTATACTAACAATGTTGTTATCAATGTAACATGTGGAATAATAACTTGCATAAACATAAAGAAGGAAAAAAATAAAATTGTGAAATATCAAAATATTTTGGACCAATGAGGTCAATAAGATGTAAGAATTTATTTATTAATTGATAAACTTTTTTAATTATTTTTTTTTGATATTGATATAGTAATCATTTTTGTTTAATGTAGATTATATGACAATCATATATTCAATTGTTGTCAACATTACCTCCTTACCATCTACAAGACTTTGCAGTTTGAGGGATTGTTTGTCCTTTAATTGACTTTCACATTGTTGAGTATCATTATCCATATCGTGTAATGCGACAATCTAACATAATTCAACATATTTCTTCTACTCTAATTCATCATGATAAACTGCACTATCTTATTTTATGAGACAAGGATGATGTTGACTGAAATATTACACACTTTCAATTTGTTCAGGAGTGACAATCATGATTGAATCATGTATGGACACAAGATGTGTATGATAAGTCATAGTTAAGTTTTAACTCTGAGTACATGATTTGATATAAAAAACATACTTGACGATGGATGACACATCGTACCGTGAAGAATGCATATGTGGTTAGTATATTTTCCTTTATTAGTTTATTAATTTTATTAATTAATAAAAATGACATTTTTTATTTGTTATTTTAGAGTAATGTGTTCAAGCACATTTATCACGGTATCAACTCAAAACATATAGATGTTTTTGATTTTTCTATCATGAAAGAGAACATCACAAATTGTTTAGAAGTTTATCACGAGGTGCATGAAGTTATTTACCCTTCTACATTAGCTCCACCTCCATCACAACAAATGCATATGTTGTTATCCCACTTAAGTTAATTTTTTATTTTAAACTTTAAATTTTAATAATAATATACTAAATTTTATTTATAAGGTAAGTTAAAAAAGATCCACACATATATTTAAAAATATAATTATTGAATTATATAAAATTAAATTTATTAATCTATTAAATATAAAATAAAACTTTTAAATAACCTAATAAATTAGATCAAACTTAAAAATAAAAAATAAAAAAAGTCAGGTCAAATTAGACCTAATAAAAAACTCTAATATATAATAAATCTAATTTATGCTTTAATTTTATAAAATAAGCTGAGATGAAATATTTTTATCCTAGTATAAGGATAAAGTTTACGGAGTGAAACGACTAGCAAACCCTGCGTTGAATCAGGTGGAGAAGGTGTGTCCGTTGATTTTCCCTCTACTTCCTTCGTCCTCATCGTTCACAGGAAACACTCACCAGACTGCGCAATTGCAGCGATGGATTATTCGGGCTACAACTACCAGCACCAACCGCAACATCAACAACATTCCTATGGCTACGACCCTTCTCAGATCCAAATCCAACCCTACGATCAATCCTATGCCTATCAACAATACTACGCCTACAATCCCCAATACGCCTATTTCCCCAACACACACCAACCCCAATTTCAATACCAACCCGAACCCCCTCCTCTTCACCCTCCCGGCGTCAACCCCACCGCCCCCGAACCCGCTCCGGTACGTTTCCCCTTCCAATTCTTCATTTTTTTCTCTCTAGGTTTTACGTGCTTAGTTAATGGCTCGTGACCTAATTCAATTGTGGCTTCGCCCGTGTAATTCAATGTAATGGGGTTCATCAATCTGTAATGAATTTTTATTTTTTATTTTTTGGTTGATTTCGAGTTTCAACCATATGTTATCCTGAAAGATGTTTGCTGAATGTGAGGGTGGTGTGTGAGTCAAGTCTTAGGACTATGAGTCTTCACTAAATTGGATGACCTATAGAATCCTTATGGGAAAGTAGTTTTTGATTTTGTTACGACGGAAGCACGTGAGAAGAGATTAAACAAAAAGACTAGTTCATTTTGTGAGGGAGTATCGAGGATTACGTGCGGGAATGTGATTCCTATTATTCTACCCAATGTGGGTAACAGGTTTTACTGTACTTGAATTTGCTGTCTCTATTGCAATCATGGCTTTTAAAAAACGGTCCACAACTGCACTGTGGAGCAACATGGTTTTTGACTCACCGCAAGTGCATTACAACTGCAATTGCTATCGCATCAACCACATTTTTCCGCAATGTCAAGGATTGCAATGAAACAAATTTAAAACCTTGATTGCAATTGTGTCTTATATGATATTAATGGTGTTGGTGGCTTCTTGTTAGTTCTCTGAATTATGTAAAGTTAGTTCTTTTCTTAAAATGGTTGCTCGCGAAGTTGTCTTCTTCTTCCTTTTTAATTGGACATGTTCAATGATGCCAAAAATTTATTACTTAAGGGTTTGTTTGTTGTTATTGTTGTTGACTTGTTGCTGTGGGTGTGACTATCTTTAATGTTGTTATTCTACTAATTTTGCTTGAAGATCATTGCCAGGGAAAAAAGCCCTTTTGCTTGTATCCCTGGCACTAAACAAGATTAGTTGAACTGACAATGGTTTGAGTTTACACATCTTTGTTCCAAATAAAAGCTTTGGCATAGGATATTTTACATACAGCAAAGGGCAAAGGGTTTGTATATAATATTGCTCCAGTGTGGTCATTGAAAGAGTTGTATTATATTCTATGCCAATTATTTTGGGCTTTTAATTAGCTCTGGAAAGTTGCTTCGGTGTAGATGGAACAAGATGATTTAAGATAGATTGAGTCAATGTTAAGCCATCTGATATGGTTTATTCCTCCTTGACTCAGTTCAGCATATTTGCTGCTACACCACACCAACATGACAGTTTCTCAATTTACTACCAAAAGGGAAAACAAAAAACATTTGAAGTAAATAGAAAAGGCTGATTGAAGATTTTGCAACTCACTTTTTAAACATTTTGTTATGCTTTTAGAGAGAATAGCTTGCGGTGCTCCCTCAGCCTCTTTTGGGACCTTCTCTGGACAAAAGATTGATACTGGATTAGGTATTATATCCTCCGCTTTTCATCTAAAACCTTCAGAAGATGTTGAGAATTCTGCAAACTTGGCCACAACACCCTAGAGTGACCAGATAAAGACAGGAGTTGCATAATATAAGTCTAACTATTGTGGCTTATATCATATCTTTGAATCCAACTAATGCTGCATGGTGGTGGGTCTTTGCTGGTTGCTTTAGAGCTGATGTGGGCATCAGATTAGCTTGTTTCTCTTCTTAACTGTCTGGCCTTTCAAAGTATTAATGCAGTGCCTCACAGTTTAGAACAAGAAACTTTTCTCTCTTTGTTATGCATTGGATATAATTCTTATTTGATATGCTTTGTTTTTTCTTGTCAGAGGATGTTTCTTTTCAGTTTCAGACTTAGGGAAGCATTCAGCATATTATCAGGACCTTAAATTGACAACTTGTCAAGGATTGCTAGATCAACAATACTTGAGGCTCATAAAGATAGGCATGAATTGGCCCAAATCCCTGGTTGATGGATGGGTGTATTTGTTGGATAGAAAATTATGAAGAAATGATCTGAGCCATGGATTTTATCTTGACCATACTGATGGAAATCCATGTTTGCCACGTGACTTGTCAACTAGAATCTGATTTTCAATAAAAGGAGAATAAAATAATTTGATAAGTTTAACCACACCAATGCATTCTTCAACGTTTTTGTGGTGTTTCTTTGATCTTCTAATAATGCTGTTCTGTTTGGAGATGAAATCAACAAGGATAGTTATAAGAAAGCTGGAACATTTATAAATACTGGATCCTGTTGCTTCTACTAGTCTGCATTTAAATTTTGGAAGGAGTCTTGTACATGAGGCACCCACCACTAATTTGAATTTTGGATGGGAAATTATAAGTCAAGGATTGGAAAGGAAATCAAAAGTGAAGAAGCGTTTAATCAAATTGTCTAGTTAATTTTCCATTTCATTGTATTCTGAGATCTATTTAAATGCTAATTATAATGATCATTGACAAACACTGAAGGCATTTAATTTTTAATTGAATTGATGGTTAAGGATTTTTCTAGTGAATGCCAACCTTGAAGTGTTTCATATTTCAAATTTTTATTTCAAGATACATAGACCGAACTATATGTAAGGATTAGAATTGTTCTTGAAATTGTTGTTGTCTTGGGAAGCAGTTTCAGAGACATAATTGTTAATGTTTGGGAAAATTTAAATGGCTTTCCGTTTTAGAATTTTCCTTGATTATTATCACCTTTCTAAGTCAGATATATCCTTCTCTGAACCAATTTCATGTTTATCAATAACTCCTTTCTCCGGTATTTGCATGGCTTTAGGAATAATGATCTTTTCATCAATTGACTTATATTTAATCATGTTGACGGATTATTGTGGGTAGGATGAATTACTGAAACTTTTAAGTCTTATAGCTGTTTTCTTTTACATTTATCTCTCTGAATATCACTACCCTTGTGATATTGTATCATTTGTGTGCACATCTCGTCATTCTAATCATTTCCTCTTAAATTTCCTGTTCATTCATTCCTGATTACTGTAACCATATAAAAATATGCTTGAATTCATATGTGAACGGAATACCTTTTTTTACAGACTGGGCCATCACAATACAGAGGTAGGGGTGGCAGGGGTGGTAGACCATTTAGAGGGGCTGGTCGTGGTCGAGGCCATGGTAGGGGACATGGTGTGGGTGGTGGTAGGCACGTACCATCCCATTCTTCTGGACCTGCAATTTCTAATCTGCCAGGTGCACCTGTTGCTGCTGGGGCTACTTCAGTGGTAGAACCGTCATCATCTGTCTCTGTGCAAAAGCAATTACCTAAACCAGCTCGAGTGCAACCACCAGTACCACCACGGAAAGCATGTTGTGAAATTTGTAAGGTTGAGTGCAATACTCCAGAAATTTTGGAGCAACACAGGAATGGGAAGAAACATCAGAAGAATATGAGGGTGCATGAAGAATTGCAAAGGCGCAATGCTATAAATGGACAACAGAGTGGACAGATTCCTACTTCTGAATTGAATTTAACAGATCAACCTGAGAAAGTTCAGGAGTCTGAGAAAAATGGACCCCCCAAACAAAATATGGCCACTGGGGTTATTGTTGATAATCACAAGAAGGAAATACAGCTGCAGAATAATGCAGGAAACATATCTGAGGTTCCAGCTGAAGTGCCTGAAGGGAAAACCATAGATAACTCTGCTGCAGGAAGCCGAGGATTGAAGCGGAAGAAGAAAGGAGGAAAAGGAGTTAAATACATGAGAACTAATGATGGTTCAAAGGCAGTGGAACCTGCACAAACTGTGTCCTTTAAATGTGAGCTGTGTGATGTTAAATGTGAGTCACAAGTTGTTTACCAGAGTCATGTGACCGGAAGAAAGCACTTATCAAGATTAAGGCGTGCTCATGAATACCAAGCTTCATCTGGAGTAGGCCAGCAGCAACCTCTATCTGGAGCGCACTTGGGGCTTCAAGCACTTTACCCAACTGACATCAATGCTCTGTCTAATGCAATTAATGCTCAAGTCCAACAAGGTGATAATGATCCACAGGTACTTTTGGCTCAACTCCTGATGACTGTGCTATCGCAAGGACAAGTTCCAGCAACAGCACCATTGGCAGGTGCCGTGGCTGCTCAGGTGCCAGCACCCACATCTATGGCTGGACCGAGTTATGAACCCCAGTTGTTGCAGACACAAGTATCCGGAATCACAGCACATGTTCAGATGGAGAATTCTTCTGGGGGAACAAAATCTGAGCTGTTACCTGTCCCACTGGGGTCAAACACTCAGCCAGGTTCAAGTGTCAGCACCCAGATTGAAGGTGGAGGTTCTGAAACTAAACAACAGGTGTAAAATTTTCCAAGATAGTTCAGGTGTGACACCCGTAGTCAATTCAGGTGCAGAAAATGACCAAATACCTTTAGAATGTGAAGCTCCCATCACTTGGTTGGACCAAAGAAGATTCAATCATTCTCTCTTTAATTCTTCACTTTTTTTGGATCAGGATTGTTAATTATCTGTTACTTTCTTTTCTATCGGGAAGTTTTAATACCGTAGGAATTGCTCAGGAATGTTAGGATGTGCTAGAAATCCTTTTCGTTACTACAATGTGTAAAACACCTTTGAGTAGTCGTTGAGGGGGCTGGATTAATGGACGTAAATGGTTGTTAAACTTGATAGTTGACGTAAATTTTTGGAATTTCTGTAGACTCAAACTCGTAAACTTGGAAGAGTTTAATTATTATAAAAAATAAGATAAAATGGCAGTTACCTCTCTTAAGGTTTCTTTAAGTGATATACATCTTTTTAATTTTAAGTAAATATTAATATTTTTCATTTATTCATTCAAGAGGTATATATAATCATTTATATAAGATAATATCATTTGTACATTATTATATTATTAAGACAACGAATTATTAATACAAATGTTAATAATTAAATAAGATTTGATATCTTATTCAATTTTAATTAACAAATTATATTTTAAATATAATGTGTGGTGATTTAAAAAAATATACAAATTTTAAGAAACAATTTCAAAGGATGAGTTGAAAAACTATTATTTTCAAATTTGTAGAACAATGAAAATTTTTATAAAAAAAATAGAACATTACATGTAATTTAAAAACAAATAATAAATACATATATGATTGATAAAATATAATTTTTTTTTCTTTCACTTTAATTAATAACGTTACTCTAAGGTGAATAATTTCTAAAAATTAGATTTAAAAGTGAATTTTTTTTTAAAAAAAATGTCATTAAAAAGACATTATAATATATATGCATAACATAATACTCTTATACAACAATAATTTAAAATTTCAATGAAAAAAGGTAATAATAATATATAATTTCTTTAAGTTCCTAAAATGGAGAGAAGCCTGGAAGGTGGGTTTTGGAGGGAGATTGGGCGGGAGACAGGTGTTATGTTGGGGGTTTTGGGGACAAGTTGGGTAAGAAGGTAAAAGAAATCCCAACCATCCATTTATATATATAAGGGTAAAATAATTGGTTTTTATCAGAAATCATGAAAGCAGAGTGGAGGAGGGTAAACTAAATCAGATTTTTTGGAAAATGTGGATTATTAATATATTATTATTCCGCATCAATGTTCTAGCACTGAATTTGCATTTCAATTTTTGGGTTTATGTCTCCTATTAACGTCCAGCTTCACTATCAATTGGCAAATTACTTTCAGTCTCTATTTATTGTCATTTTGTAGCAGTTTTGAACTGCCATAGAGGAACGTGTAATAAACAGTCAGAAATGACGGTTTGCAACAGTTTTTTAAATCATAAATTGACTGTCACTAGCTCAAAATAACCTCATGCCAGTGACATGTTTCAATTCTTTTACACCTTGAATTTAGCTTTCATCCCACGATCAGAATTTCAAACCCTTCCTAAATCATACTATACTTACCCACGTGGAACCAAGAATGTTAAAAACACCTTGTTGGACCATCAACTCTGATGGTCTTTTGCAACAATCAAAACTGATGTCTATTTAGCACACAACCTTGTCCTCCATACTCTTCCCAACCATATTATAGAACTTAATTTGTTCTTTCTTTGTAAAAAAAAGTAATAAACAAACAACTACAAATTCTCCACATCCTTAGGTTTAACACACCACCTTACCGACCAAATCTCTCTCCAACACAATTTCTACTGCTCATATCCAAGATCATTGGGTTTGAGCTCTCAAAAGATTCCCATCCACCTTGAGCATTCATTCCTTTCAAACAAAAAAGTTAATTTGTCGTCTACATCTCAAATTACTCTCTGCTCTATTATCCATATCTCAAACCATTCTTCTTCCAACTCAAACATTTCTCTAACTGCGATCTTTACCAAATATGCTATAACCCAGTTATTTGATGCAGCAAGCACTTCATAATTCAACAAGCGATCAAGTCAATCCAACTTGTTGCATCCTGTAATGGTGGAAAGCTAGACGTGAAGAACAAAACAAACAGAGATGAAACAAACTTCCACCTGGTACACAAGTATACAACAGAAACGTGAATTACCGGTGAACTGGAACACTATGCTGTAGGTAAACGAATTTATTTAACTGACGTGAAAAAACAAGTTGGAGCACCAAGACTCAACACAACAAAAAATTCAGTTGTAACATCATACTTCCATGCATAAATTTTCAAGCAAGTTTTTTATTTAAGTTAATTAGAATGTAATGACGGATCAGTTTTTTAGACAGACATCAAATCACAAATCACCATGTCATTTATGAAATAATTTCTGATTGACAGTGTAAATCTTTATAATGCTTAAAAATTAAACTCCCATTATTGATGTTCATAAAACAGTATTCATACAGGCCCTTCCTTCCTTGTTTCAGCATTTCCTTTAGAAAATCGCGAAGGAAATAGAGTAAAACAAGGTAACAGTTTAGTAATTATTTGTAAAAACATATAAACTAAAATGTAAATAAAAATCAAACCAAAGGCACACCAAGTATGCATGAGATTTCATTTTCATTTTTAGAAGCTTACTCTGTTCCTGAAAATGAACTCAAATTCCGAAATAGTGATGGTGAGTCATATTCAAGGCCACCTTACAGACTGGTTCCAAAAATCATTCCAAGTCTTGATATATCATAGGATTCTCCCTACATGAAGAATGAAATGTTATTTTGTCTAAAGGTATAGTTCAAGTCACCAATCATTGGTGCCAATCAAGATGACTAATTTTATTTTGCTTCATATTACAACAAAATTGTTGAAGTTAGAGTTTGAATATCTCTGTTTTGACAAAAATAACTGAACTAGAGGGATATGGAAGTCAAGTGTTTTGTTCTTTGCAATTGGGGACTGTTTTTGGGTTAGGCTCCACCCTTTTCTTAAGACCTTGACAATGCTTGCGATCAGAGTAGTTAATAATGGTTACAATTGTTACTAATACACTGTCACCTAATGGAGCCTCCTTGCTCCCAAAGGTTGTGGCATGGAGTGTGACCATCACAATAGCCCCAGGGATCCACATGTGGCTTGTAAATGGTATCTGGCCATGTGACATGTCCATATGGTCAGATCTCATAGTTATCTCGCTTGCCTTCACAAAACAGTAACCTATATCTTGTTTGAGTGATTTTTATGAGGGAGAAGTGTTCCTCCTCCATTCCCCTCAACTAAAAAATGTTCCTACCTGAATTTGGGGCTAGGAAGGGGAAATGAATCATTCTTTGGTTATGAAAAGTTATTAATACATGCCCAAAATTTCACACTATTTTTATTCCGGTCAACTGTGTTAACGTTTATATATTTGATTCACAAGCTAGTATTTATTTGCTCAATTGTTGCTAGCCTGATAACCTGACATTACTAGGTAACCCAAGATTCATACATTCTTAACTAGTATCAAAGGTGAAATTTTGGGTGTGCATAAAATTAAAAAAAATAAAAAAGAATTCATACAATACTAGGTAACCCAAGATTCATACATTCTCAAATAATATAAAAAATTAAAAAATTACAATATAATGAAGAATTGGAAGGAGAAAGGGGGAAAATTCACCAGAGCGGGACCGAGAGCAGTGGGGTTGAAGCTGGGGAGGGTGAAGAGGAGCGGGTTTGGTTGGAGTATCTTTCTCTTTTCTCAAAACATTCTCATGCACACATGCAATTAGTGTAAACATAAAGGAATGGTACAAGCTTTACCATACACCACCATAAAAGCTAACAGCACAAAGCAAACATTCTAAGATTAATCTTCATCCGAGAATAAATCACCATCTTTAGGAGGACCCCTTTGAAGTTTTGCTTGTAATTCTAGATTCTTGGGCAAAACAAGTTCAATACCCTGACCTGACGAGGAGAAATATTTCTCTAGTACCATCTGTTTAAAAAAATGATAGACTCATCATTCTAGAAATGTATGAATGAAATAGATTGCCAAAAAGGCACCAAATACAATCTTCACTTACCATGGCAGCATAGGCATCAAGTTTCTTCTGCTGAGAGGACTTACTTAACCCCCTGAAAGAGTAATAAATGTGTCAATTCCCCAATAAAATACTAAATTCCATAGAGATTGACATCTTTCTTAAAGGACTCTTTTAGTATTAAAAAAAATGAATCTTTATTTGACTCTTGCATCCAATTGTAACTACTACTTCCTTTGATACCAATCATTCCTATAGATCATAAGGTGCCTCCCCTAGTTATAGTATCTTTGGGCGGCTGTTGGTAGGAGCTTTAATCCCCCAACATGTCATTTTCCCATTCCCCATTAGAGCCCAATAGATCTCCTATTCACATACACATAATAAAAAGAAGGGTTCAGAAGTTAAGCACATAATAACTTCAGTGGAATAAGAACCATGCTAGTGTGAGGGTTAATATAGCATCTTTGTTCATAGGCAAAGAATAGTATACCAAAATGGCCTCAAACTACATAATAAGAATAAGAATTTATAATACATTTCACAGGTTTTGGAGATAAGATGCACATTTCTTCATAAGGAAGTTTTCTGTCCCGGTGACGGTTTTAATTTCTACCTATTAAATTAGTTTTTTAACGCATAAGATGCACATTTCTTCATAAGGAAGTTTTAATTTCAAAAAGATCCTTTATGTCCATTACGTGCACTAAAGAATAGTAAAAACAAAATCCTGCAGGCAGTATAACCATTTTGTGTAAACTTTTCACTTTGGTGATAAAACTGATAATGTCCTAGATGCCTAATCATTGCCAAGATTATCATATCACTTCAAAAATTAGCCATTTCAAACAAAAAAAATAAATTGCAAAGAATATAATACAATCAATAAAGAAGTTTGAAAACAATTACATATTGATCATTCGATCTACGGCTTCTTTTGTTGTCCCACGTTCATCCTGTAGATATACTCTCCAACCCCTGAAATAAATTTTATATATCAATAGAAATTAAGTTACTAATATAAGTAATTATATCAATTCAATAAACCATTATAAGGAGCCATTCAGATACATTATTCAAATTTATTGTTAGTTATGGAAATGTATGAGCCATAGAAAAATAAAGCAACTTAGGTCAATCACTGAATATTATAGGCATTTCCATAATTTGCAATTCCGGGGGTTTGGCAGCTTGAAAAATGAAGATTACAATATATATATATCAAGTGAGAGGAAATTAATCTAAGGGTTATATTTTAACCCTCTCATCTCTCATAATAAATTCCCTCTCACTTGATATACTCCCTATATATATATATATATATATATTCAATTAAGAATGCAACCATAAAATTGAAAGATTACAACAAAAGATAAGAGGAAATTTGAAGAACAATAAGGGTGATTAATTGCTTACCTTTATTTTTCGTCGACAGCTTACTGTTTACTATTGTTTTTTTGGCATGTCACTTGATGACGAAAATTAATTTTCTTAATGTTAAGATAAAAGCTTAAATTTATTTATTTTCCTACAAAGTTAGTATGTTTTGATTTTGATTCCTATGAAAGAAAATTATTTTTTATCCCTCTAAAATTTGAAATTACATTACAAGAAAATTGTCATATAGTAATTATATATATATATATATATATATATATATAAACTGACATTGAAGAAGAATGTTACTTGTGAACTATGATCAACATATAATGAATAATTCAGCCTAATGTTATACATTTTCATACTTTGGAATTCATAAACAAAGATAAAAGAATTTAAACCGTCAAAGCTTAATTAAAATGCAAATGCCTTACCTCTCAGCAGCTCGAACAGCAAGCCTTCCAGCAACACTTCGGACTTTATTCGACTGCGGTGTTTCCTTCCCATCAAAAGATTTTGGAAGTCCAATTATAAACTCATCAACCTCCTAAAGTTTCAAAATCCTGTCAATTTTAAGGTTGTGCAGCCTGATAGACACTGATCCAATTTTCAAGCAATCCAAGAGAAAATAAATAAATAAATAAACAACAAGAATCCACACCTCTTGTCCAGCAATGTTAATAATCTTGACCTCAAGCTTCTCTCCTCGTAGTTCCAAAACCTAAATCAACTACAGGATTATCAGGAGAAATGGCAAATGAAACAAAAATAACATAATTCATAACAGCACTCGCAGCAATGAACATATATTAATTGAAAAGAGAAAAGAGGAATTGGTTACGGTTAAAGGACGAATGGAGAAGCCTTTGCTGAGGGCAAGGCCAGTGCGAGCCAACCCCAAGTCGAGTCCAAGGCTGAAGCCTCCTCTCCATTGCGGTTCTCTCTTCCTCCGAAGCGCGTTTGGGGGAAGTTCATCCAAAGTTATTGCCTTTACTCTGCTTTTACCGTTCTGAGTCACCCCAAAAGATGGGACTTTTGTTTCATTTGAAGAAGAAAGGAACAGTTTCAGGGGTGGCGCATGCTGCATCCACATTGTTGCAACCATGCTTAGTTTATACATATCGTTTTTGTGCAAGAATTGCAGCTGGAATCGAAAAGGGGTTCCACTGGTTATGCCTTTTGTGGGCCAGTATCTGCACAACCCTAATAATCAGATCAAATGCAACTTACAATGGTGAGTTTTTACAATTTACCTAATTTGATGGTTTTTTTTTTCATTTTGCATTTCTTCAAAGGATATTTTCGATCACCTAATTTGTTAAAGTGGATGTGTCAGCTAGTTCTCTTAACTTGAAATTTTCATACTCTGATTTTTCCGCTGAGTTTGAGAGATTTTGTTTTACACTTTAGATTGTTTTTCATTATTATGGGCAAACCTTCTACACTGGTAAAACTATAGGCTTTAATTTTATTTTATTTTTTACAAGTATTATGATTTATGTGAATTCCTATCTTAGATTTATCATGACTTTGTAATGATTGGTGCACGGAGATCCAGCATTCTTATAATGACATTTTCATTTTCAATTAAAGTTTGGTATCAACATTTTCTTATTTTGCTTGGCCTTTTGTTTCATGAAGCTTTGATGGGATGATTTCATTGGATGATGTATCTCCTCAAAAATAAAATAAATTCAATTATTACATGCTCTTTAAGAAAATGAAATCAAAGAACAAAGAAAATGGAATTTATAGACAATTATAATGATAAAACAATGAGTAAAAAAAAATAAGTTTGAAACTTGTCTCAAATGAAAACAACATGATTAAAGGTCATATAAATCTTGTAATTGAAATGGAAGAAAAAAAATAGAAAAAAGAATAAAAAAATTTGTTACCACATATCATAAAATAAACACAAAGGGAAAATTTTTAAAATTTTCTATTTTAAGTGTTAATATTTTATTATGAGATGTGATGTTTTGTTAAAATGAAAACACTCATAATTAAAACACGGAAATCATACAAAATTATATATACAATACATCCTATCGGGATTCGGGAGTGAAACGAATTCGTGAACCTAATTTCACTAAAGCAGAAAGATGTAACGTCATTTGCAGAGACGTTGGGGTATAATTGAAATCCTAGTCTGAAACAAGAGCGATGGAGAATTAACAGTTGCAACCCTAGCGTAGGGTGGTTATTCGGGAAATCAGAAACGGAAAAGGCAAAAGCAGATAGAGTTATCGAAAGACGGGAAATCGGAGAAGGAAAGGAAAAGTGGGAGAGGAGAATCTACCTGAGGCTGAGATGAGAGTGGAAGCAGCGGAGTTGGGTGTTGCAGCCTTGGCGCTTTCACCGCTCTCAGTCTCGTTCGCGCACAAGCACGGATTTTCACATGAATCAATGTAGAGCGCATGCAATTGTATACTACAACCTCGAGCACTGGATTATTACTTCCCTTTTGGCTTCGACTTGTCCTAAGGTAATATGACTAATGACTAATGAGTCGGTCGCCGCCATTTTTTTTTTTTTTTTTTAATATTAGATTTTATGACGACATTAATATTTCATGGGAAAAAAGGCTATGGGTATGAGTGTCGTTGATCATGGTAAGAACACTAGTTAAAAAATCAACAATATAAATTTTTTTTATTGAAAATCATACTATAAGTATTTTGAAAATACATGAAATGGTGTATTAATAAATTTTAAATTTTTTTTACTTCTATATTCTTCACTAGTGCTTTTTAATATGATTAATTCATTTTTAAAAATTTGAAGAGATAATAATAATAATAATAATAATAATAATAATAATAATAAAAAGAATAATAATAATAATAATAATAATAATAATAAAATATTAACTATTTCTCATCATTTTAATTGTGGTTGATTTGTTTTTGGAATAGATAGAGGAAAGATAATAATTGACATTCATATCATTTAATTGGTTGGTTGTTTGTTCGTCATATATTTCATAATTTGGGAAGTTATTCACTTACTTTTTAAGGTAGTAGTTCATATTAACATAATGTATCATTGTGTTGACATACATGTATTGTCCCATGTTTAGAGTGATTAAATCGCATTAAAGTACTGACATGTGTCTTGGATTAATCATGTTGGACCATCTCTTGTAATAGGTTACCCTTAACAATAGGTCTAAATTCAAGTAATTTGATATTTTCTAAATTAGATCATGACTTTGTAACTTAAATGTTACACTTGCTCCGAGTCACTTTGTTGTCGAAGTCAATGTTTTATGCATCTTGATTCTTGAACTCAAAATTAATAGTTAATGTTTTTTATTATTTTCCTTTGAGTGTCCTTAGTTACTTCATCTTGGTATATTACATGTTTCAAATTAAAGTGTTGATATAAATGCCACTTTCTCTCTCAAAACTTGTGCGTGAATAGATTGACCTAAAAAAGTCTACCACTCGCTCCTATAATGTATAACAACTTTTTTGCTTCTACTATTTACAATTCTTCATTACTAAATATACTCCAGATTTCTTTAATAATTTTACTTGATCACCCTCTCTTATTACTCATATTTTGTCGTTTCCTTTCTTTGATTTCTTTTTCTATAGTTTTGCATTCATTGACATTCTTTGAGAAAAGGGAACTCTCTGCCTCATGCACACTTTGTAAGACCCGCTTCTTTTTTTCCTCCTTCCCCTCAACACTCTCATTTTCTCCTCACTTCCTTTCCTTGGTTTCAAATTCTTTAAACTTCCTGGTGGTGATTGTTGTGGTTGAAGGTGTGGAGTAGAGACATGAGGAGCTAGTTGGAAGCGCGAACCTCCTTGCTCTTCTTCTTTCCCTTCTCTTCCCCGGAGCTTGGATTTTTCTTCTTCCTTTTTTATAGTAATACCATCTCTATATATATCTAGAGAAAGAATTTGCATAATTACAATTATTGAATAAAATAACAAATAACAACTTTATTCTAAAATCATTTGACTCATTTTTTCTACTGATCTTATGTAATACTTAGTTGTCCTTCTTTAATGATATATTTCTATCATATATGATGTTCTTGACTTTTGGTTTAATATTTCATACATTTGACATTATCACCGGATGACATGGGGAGGTTTGACCCAATCTAACAAGTTATTAAGTATTTAAGTTTTAGAAATATTTTTCATATTTATTTATTAGTTTCATAGTAAATGGAGGTAACCGGTAAGGCAATGAGTTTATAGTCAAGTTTGGTAATTGAGAAAAACAAAACATGATAGACAACTAACTTTCTTGACATGTTACTTATAAACCAAATCAATGTGATATCCAAAATTTAGAGGGCCCAATGGTGTTGGTAAATGCATATTTACTTTACATTCAAGGTATTAGTTTGTGCTACTAGAAATTAGAAGCATAAGATTAAGGAGATGTTGCAACCCAAAACTTTTCGATCTCGTGATTAATGGTTTAGACATCGTTTTGAAAATCTCATCAATTAAGGAATGTCTGGACACCAGACTAATCCTTAATTAATGGTTTTAAAAATAGGTTCATGGAGACTTCCATCTCCAAATTTGACTCAGACATAACTCACTTCTTTTTGGGTGTGAAGCAGTGTCAAACTAAACTATCCAACAAGCGTTAGCTCTCCCTGAAAAGGATGTGATCCAGCCGCACCTTCCAGTACGGCTACCTTGTTACGACTTCACTCCAGTCACTACGTGTAGGAAAGGTATTAAACACTCTTACAGTGCCCTTAATCAATACCCTTATGATGAAGTTAGCAGAGTAAGAATTAATAATTTAAATATTTAATCCTCTTTATGAATTGTTATTTACATGCTTAAAATTTAAATTAAACGGTTAATACTAAAACGTATTATTTTTATTATAACAATATTTGAAATAAGGGAATAGAGAAATACCTCTTAAACGAGCTTCATTGAATCTTTAAATATGAAGATTTTTAGGTGCTTTGCGGCAACCTTTCACACTGCAATATACCTCATAAATATCAAGAAACACAATAAGAGAGATAAAATTTTCGAGTACAAAGGAGTCTTATAGGAAATCTCCCCTCTTTAAATATAGTGTCTGAGTCTAATATTTATAGACATCAGAAATGGCCAGAACAGCCCGTTCCGTAATCGGAACGGCCCATTCTGGGTCAGTCCGTTACGGGTAAAATAAGGATCTGAAATGGCCCGTTTCAGAATTGGAATGGCTCGTTTTGGTTTCGAGTTTTACTCACAGAAACCTGTGTTGGAACGACCCGTTCTAAATAAGGGTTTTTAGGCCATTTTTTATGAACTTGGAACGACCCGTTCCAAATTGGGAACGGCCCGTTCCGGTTTTGGAATAGCCCATTTTGGGCTACTAAAACTAGCTTTTTTGAACTTTAGGCCTTCTGATGTCATGTCCTATTATTTATATACTTAGGAGCTCATTTTCTTTGATAATAGAAGTCCATTTTCTTATTTGTATGCCCCTAAATGAAATTAGGTCTCTCTTGGACTTTAGGCCTTCTGATGTTGTCCTGTTGTTTCTATACTTGGGAGCTCCTTTTCTTTGATAATAGAAGTCAATTTCCTTATTTGTATGCCCTTAGATGAAATTGGGTGTCTACAAGAGAGAGGATCAAAATCAAAGATGATCACATGTAATCATATTTCACATAGATTATTCTAGCAATTTCATGTATCATGATTAAAAAGCAAACCAAGATATCTTTTAGTTTTTGGCTTTTTAGTCACGATGTTATTTTGGACCAAATGGTTTGTTGAAATGTAAGTCATTGAAGCTTTTTTTTTTTTCTTTCTAATTTTTGAAATGAATGACTAAAGGGACAACTATAAACTAAAATCAAATATTTTTATTTTTCAATTTCAAGTATTACTTTCCCTTTTATTTGAATTTTGAGCCACTTGACTAATTGTATAAATGGTTCTTTGGAAATAACTCAAAACATGATTTACAAATAAATGCCATTCTATTTCTTGCAGGCTCGAGATGTTTATAGTGTTCTAGCATGTCTAAGGAAGATGAAAATGCAAACTATGCTTCATCACTAGCTTTTTTGAGCATCTTAGAGGTTCCTAATCAAGATAAAACCCATTGTGCTTAGATGATCACATAAATTGCCAAAACTGCATTGATTTTCAAATGAAGAGTGAGGATGTGTATTTCAATGCATAATTGATATAAATGTTTATGAATGAAAAACTTAATTTCACCGGAATCCTATGAAGAGGAAGTTGAAAGTTTTGAAATTGGGAACTCACCAACGATAAGCTTCATTGACTATTATTCTTGACAGATTATTTTTGAAGATATCACATAACATATAGTGGAAAACTATTTTCAGAATGTCATCATATAACCTTTCATAATGGTGTTCATTTTGACAATGGGCATGTCATGTAGTCTGGGGAGGTTAGGAGTGGCTAAGTCAATTGAATGGTTACTGAATAATTTTTTTTATGACATCACATAACATATAGTGGAAAACTATTTTCAGTATGTCATCATGCAGTCTTTCATAATGGTGTTGGCTTTGACAATGGGAATGGCATGTGGTCTAGAAGCAAGGTTTTGCTATTGGAGGTCAAAACTGGCTAAGTCAATTGAACGGTTACCTGTTAGAATTGGTTGTTGTAGTCTTTGTTTGCAAAGTTAGTCGATAGTTTAACTTTTCTTTAATGTCATTGGTTATTTATGTTTATATTGTGTTAACATCTTTTGTCACTAAAAGTCTGAGTTTTATTTTTGTTATCTTATATTGTGTTCTATCACGAGAGACAAACCCATGTCATTATTTAAAAAAAATAGTCCTAAAAGATTTGTTAAGTGACTGATTTCTATAAACATAATGGCCTCAATGTATATTTTTTTAGTAATTACCTACTTTTCTAATCATTTGTCCCATCACTATATGCTTAAATTAAAATTCTAAGAGAAATTGTTTTTTTAAATAAGATAACATTACTTTAAATTTTAGTTATATATTGCTAATAATATAACTCTATCGTCTGTTAGGATGGTGTTCAAAGAGTTCGTTTGTTGGATGAAACTATTAGTAGAGTTCTATTGTTGGAATTGTTTAAAAGAGATAGGATGGGAACAATGGTAGTTCAGACTGTTCAGTATGCATACTTTGCGCTCTATCTTTGAAAAAAATTTCTTCTTTTTACTATGAAATATTGTGTTTTGTTTGGTAATTAATTGGTGAAAGTAAGAGTAATATGTAGGGTTTCTCTTATTTAGGTGTGGTTTTTGGGACAAATGGATATCCTCTAAAGATTTTGTACTAAGTCATATATCATGTGACCATTGAGTGATGCCCATGACGACTTTGAAACATGGGGTTACAAACATGAAACCCTTAAGAACATCTCTAATGAGTTCCAAACCATTCTAAACTCATTTGTAAGCCCCCCTAAATGAAAACCATCAACTCACATGTATTCCATCCAAAAGATTATAAGCAACATATGCAACATAAAAATCATTTCAGATGCAACATCCATGCTCTCAACAGTAAAATATCAACAACCATGGGTTTGTGTTCACCTTCTCCAAAAATCCAAACTTCACAACATGGAATTCATGTAAATCATTCTACGTCTCCACAACTCATACAACTCAAATCACCACAAATATATCACATGCAACCACTACCAACTCAAAATCATTAACCCATCTTCGACATTCAACAACCCCAAAAACCCACAACGTAAAGTTCATGCATTCTCAATATAGATGTTACTAATGGGCCAAGCAACGTAGAAATCACCACATGCAACACAAAATACATCAATCTACGAACTCCTTTTACCTCTTGATGGTCCAGAAACGAAAATAGGGAAAGAGAAGACGACGCGCGCTG